GGCCTGCACGGCTTCATCTTCTACTTCCTGGCGTCCGTCCTCCTCTCCGTGCTCTTGGTGTTAAAAGCCGGACGGCGATGGAATAAGTACTTTAAGTCCCGAAGGCCGCTTTTCACGGGGGGGCTTATAGGAGGGCTCTTCACATATGTCCTGTTCTGGACTTTCCTGTACGGCATGGTTCATGTCTACTAAAGCAACTGGGAGCCGCGTTAGCTGCAGTGATTTTCAATGAAGCAGGAGGACTGTTGCCAAAAGTCATCTACACAACTAAGCCAGCTTACCTTTGAAACTTGTTCATCGCTTGTATTGTTAATACTGTCAGTAAATTATGTCCAAGTACAAATGAATCGGTAGCACTGTTCTAATTAAACTGAATGTGAAACACCGCTTGGATGCCTCCCATGAATATTTGTTTGGTGGTTAAGGAATAACTTCTGTTCCTAACTGCAGGCACAACCGTGGGGTTTGGTTGATGTAGTCCCTTGTATCCTTTGCATTTCGGATAAGACACACCAGTTACAATCCCTTCTAGATTTGCTGCCTGTCCCTACACACAGATACTGAGGAAAGCAGCGTGTAACACAGCACGTAAAAAATAATCCAGTGACAAGGAAATACTGCACAGTAGCATGTAATTAAGTGTATGTGAAGTTTGGTACAGAAAAGTAATTGAGTTGCTAGCGCAAAGGTTACCTCTACAGCTGCTGTCTGTACACGCTGTCAGTAAATGACATTGTCACGGATACTCTTCACTGGCATATATGAAAGTTGGTAAGTAATGCTCTCACAAGTCAAACACTTTGCTCCTTTTTGTTACTGTTGTATCCAGTGAAACACAGACAACCAAGTGTGTGCAGCGTCTTATTACCTGCCCGCTCAGTCTGTACTGAACACTCCTGTAAACCTGCTGGTGTTTGCTGTAATTAACAGTGCAGCGTTGTGGTTCCGTACGTCTCTGGCAGGAACAGAAAGGAAAAGTCGATCACCCACCATCCCTGTAGTATCTTTGCTATAGCCCTGCTTGTGCAAACTTCGTGTGCAATTGATGTACTTAGCGTGTGTAGCGCAAAGAAAAGGTGTCGTGTGCGACCTAAAACCCACACTGTACAGAAGAGTCTTGGAGAGCACTGCCCTAAAGTGACAAATTTTATTGCTGTACATTAAACACAAGGAGGGGAGGAGGAAAAAAAAAAATCAAAGAAACAAGCTCCTGAGAAGGAATCTGGTTATGTTTTATCAACAGCAATGGTTGTGGGACTTGTGTTAAACAGAAGGTATAAAGAGGGGAAACATTGCAGGGACTTTTGAGGGCCTGAAGCCCCCGAAGACTTACATTCAGGAAATCGCTTTGGTCATCTAACAAGAGGATGTTGCTTTGTCAAGTTAAACCATTGGTTTCAGTAGGGTGCGGTCAGCTTTACGGGTTACAATGAACTGCTTGGTTTCCATGAGTTGTGCCTTGGCCTGCTGTCACATGTGGGGTTCACCCTGTATTTCACCATTTAGAAATCATTCAAACAGGATTAGGCTCTGCCAGTCAAAAGCCTGTGCTGTTTTGTTGCTGTGGCATTTCGAATAGGTCTGACGAGTGCAGTTACATGCACAGTGACACACGTTTGCCTAGAGGAGAGGCTTCTGGCACAAGGAGAGGCGGCTTTGGATGTGCTTACAGCATCAGAGGTACAGAGCTCATCCTAAATTATTTTAAGTCCACGGTTTAATTCTGTTTTCTAGCTAAATGCTTGACTCAACAATTACTTGCAGCTGAACAGAAGCAGAGACTGAGTGGGGGTTGCTATCAGCGACTGGATTCAGAGTTTGCTGCTGCTCACAAAGGTTTTAATTTAGGATCGATGTGTACCTCGGAGTCGCCACCTTCAAGAAGCTAAAGCAAAGGGGAGCGCAGCTTGCTGTTTCCATTTGTGCAGAACACTCGATCGTGGCAGCTCTCTGTAATGCCACTCTCTCTCCAGCTCTCATAGCGGTACGCAAGGATGCTGCAGCAGGAGTCCTTTAAATCGTGATATTCAAAGAGCACACAGAAACACTTGATCTTCATCTTGATGACTCCTGATCAGTGGTGACGTGGCCGCATTTACAGAACACTGATCAGTTTGTACCAAGCCACAGTGTGGAAGCTTTAAATGAGGCAGGAATTCACCTACTGTCTTCAGGAGCTTCAGGTGAGTCGGTTCCTGCCAGCTCAAGCAAATGCAAAGTTTAAACAATGATGTTCTGCAAGCACTTTTCTCTTCCAAGATTGGTCACATCCCCACATGAGCGTAAATTCACCAAATGGGCTGCCATGAGACATTTCTCTACTGAGAAACCAAGCAGCAGTAGTAGTTGTTGGAAGTTACCAGGGTGTTGAAACAGCAGACATCTGTTTTCTAAATTTTCCTCCTGTTGGTATATTTGGAAGGACCTGGTAGAGTTTCACCTGGCAGAGCTCTCTTTTTCACTCTCTGCAGCACAGTTCAGGGTACTATGAGAAATGGCAGAAGCGTTAAGTCCCCCATCCAGATCTCTCCCCACCATGAGCAAGGGGTAAGTGATGCAGAAAGGACAATGCTGAGCAAATAAATGAAACCAGCCACTGAACAAAGGAGGGCGAACCTAGGGCCATCTCTGTGCAAATACTGCCAGCACCACATTTTGTGTTAGCACCCTTTTCCCCCTGCTGTCAACCACAAAAACAGCCGTCCCTGCCTTGCTTCAAAATACTCCTCTGCCTGCCGTTACCTGGTCTGTGCTCCGAAATGCCAGCTCTGTGGGCCAACTACGAACAGAGGCGGTGGGCAGCGGGTGAGGTAGCTGGGACCCAGCCATGGCTGAATGGATTCTCCATTCGGAGCCACGGCAGGACTTCCTGCTGTTCCTGAGAGGAGCAGAGCACCCAGTGGCAGCTGCTGTGAAGGCTTTTCCTGGAGGAGCACCGTTCCAACCCTAATGGTTACACACACCCCGCAATAAGCGTAATCACCCCCGCTGCGACACCAGCCCAGTCAGCACAGGCGTTGCAGGGTAACGAGCCCCTTTCGCCCGGGCTCAGGGCTGTTGAAATGCTGCGTTTCGTTGCACATCCTGACAAGAGCAGTCCTGCTGCCTTACGTCCAATCTCGCATGTAACAAGTTGGAAGCGGTGGCCACTAAGCCAGCGGAGCGGGGGAGAGGTTGAACCTCAGCCTCAGCGCTCCTCACCGTGCCAGCGGTGTTTCATGTCACGGCTCTTTCACACATGGAAGCAAAGCACAGCCACGGGATAACGCTGGCTATTGACGTAGGTACAGATACAGCTATCAATAGATATAAAAACATTTGTTTGGTGCCTTCTTTTTCCTTTTATAAAATCCCTTTATAAATCCATAGTGATGACATGCTGCTGCAAGCTCAGGATACCAGAGAACACCTCAGGGAAAGAAGGGTGGTCTTTAAAGGACATTTTTTCCTCTGGTAGAGTAGTAGAGTAGACCTGATCTGGGGTACGTCCACTTCCCAGTCCTGGTGTGTTTCACACCTGCGTGGTTTTCCTGGAACATAAGCCCAACTGGCAGACCCATCGCTGTGCCTAGAGCCCACCGAGCTGGTCAGGGCTCTGATTCCCATTCAGCGTAGGGCTAGATAACGATTTCCTGGAACTGGATCTGAGGAAACAAGCAAAGGTGACAGACGAGGCAAGCAGGCTATTTCCATTTCAGGAAGCCATGCAGGCGAGAGGTCCCCAGCCAGGCTGCTCACACCTTACAGCAAAGGCCCTCACCCTCCGTACAAAGAAAGCCCCAGTTCTCAGCCTGATGAGGCTCTGGAGCTGCCCCAATTCCATCCACAGTCATCAGAGACTGTCAGTGCAAGGCCATTTATAGTCCAAGCATGACACAGCAGCTTCCTTTGCTCCCCAGCTAACTGCAGCAATGAATTATGGAGGGAGGGAGGAAGGGAGGAATGTAGCTAAAATAATTGGGAGGAATTTAATTTCCTGGAATTGGCCTTTGTTTGTCATTAATGTTTACTGTGCTCCTGTATCTCCTTCTATTTCTATTAGTCACAACAATAAAGCCATTACATTTAAACACAAAAGCCAAGCCCACTTACTTTACTTCCTCATACTTTTTGCCTCGATAAAAGTTACTCTTTTTAATCAGATACAGCAGCACCAGGTCACAAAAGAAAGCTCCCTGCAAATAGAAAGAACTTGTGTTTTATCTTTAGAGCAGAAGAGGAAGTGTTCTGATCTAAGTAGCAATGAGCATTAATTAAAGAAGAATAACTCATAGGAGCTGTATTTTCCTTCATACTCCATGTAATCTTAGGGGTATTTAGACTACAAGGTACATGAACAAGTGCCTTTAAGGCAGGACGCAGACATACACCTGACTGAGCAGCCAGAGTAGCAAAACTCTGCTGGGGAAGATGTAAAGAAACCAGCCCATTTTACCCATTTTAGAACAGCTACGTGAGGGCTCTGGGTCCCAGTATGTTACTTTAAGAAAATCCGTTCACTTACCGCTCCCATGAGAGCAAGCCCCGAACCGATATTGATAATGGTGGGAATGATGTTAAATTTCCCTGCCTAAAAGAAAAAAGGCCATGAAGCACTCGGTGAAAGCACAACCCAAGAAACAGACCGAAGGGTGCGGTATTACACTGAGGAAGCTGCTGCTGCCTGTGGGTGTGTTTTGTTAGCAAGAAGCAGGCACAGCCATAGAAGATCCGCAGTGAACAATCTCGGAGGCCAAAGATCTGTGCATGCCTCAGATCCAACTGTTCATGGCTGCACTTCTGAGCTTGCGTCATCCCTGGGTTAGGCTTCTTTTTTCTGCAGTACATATGCATGGAAAAAAAAAAAATCTCTAGGGCTTATTTACTTCTGTTGGGCTTTACGTGGGCCTGTTTTTAGGTAGAAGAGCTGCAGGCTCATCCAGGTCATCTCTTGTCTTATGTAGGGTTAGCTCCATGTGGATGAATGGCAAGAGCCCCTTCCTATGACAAGCCGGAGAGGCTGATCTCATCCCAGAGCTGCCTTCCCACTGAGAAATGCCTCCCCCCTGTTCTTCCTCTCCAGGCTCAGAAATACTCTAGCCTGGGAACTCACCTTGCCATTCACCATCACATCAAAGCGGATGCCATACGCTTTGATGAGCGTCCGGTAGTCGACCCCTGCAGCATCCCGGTAATATTTGGCAAACCTGGAATGCAACAATACCGATTTTAACTCCATAATCTGCCCACACACAGAAGAACCCATCTGAATTCAATTCGCTCTTCAAACAGATCTATCTCCCCACCAAAATCTGCTTTAGCTTGCCACAAGCACGACTCCCTCCCTCCACTGAAGCAGCGTGCTTGGCTGGGGCAGTGCCTGGCAGAGTCCGATCTGGTACTGCCAACCTCCAACGCCTGCAAGTCAAACCAGCTCAGCCCTACTGCAGTTCTACGTTGTATTCTCCTCTTTACTTACCTGAAGTTGTACCCAGCAGAGATGGACTTTTCTGCAAACTTGTTATCCAGCCGGCTAAAAGAATAGTGAGGATTACATTCAGAAGGGGCTTTATCAAGATCACAGTTCCATTCAATCTGAATTCCTATCACACCACCCTTAACGAGAGAGAGAGACAGTGTGAGTTTTTTTTAAAACTTAGTTCAATTAATTTGTTTGCAAATTTGTCAGATCTTTGGGCAAGTTTTCCCCAGAACAAGACCAGCTGCATTTCTCGTCACAGACACACTTCTGGATGGGCTAGGTTCACGCTGATGATTCTGGCCACGTTACTCTACACCCCCCCCAGCTTGCCCTGTGCTGCTGTCCTAGGAGGCAATTTCTCATCCCAGGACACTGATTTCATTAATTTAAGTGGCTGTTACAAATTTCAGTGGAGAAGATGCTCTTTTATGCAGGGATGAAGTTCACAAGTGCAGAAGCCAGTACAAAGCCTGCAGTCTTCTCACCCTGTGCTTCCCGGGATGCCTCAGACCGGCTCCATCTTCCCCCCTGTGCTTCGCACACTGGGTCACAGCCAGTTTGGCGCTGCAGCCCTGGGTCTCTATGCAGAAACACATCCGTTTCTGCAGGGGAACCCTACCGGGGCATTCTCTGAGCAGAGAAGCCCCACTGGCTTTCCAAAGTTCTGTGTTTAAACTGATGGTGTAGTAATGTTGAAACTAAACAAAGAAACCCTGCTGGCAGAGCAGCGGTTTGGGCAGCCCTGAATACCTGATAACTGACAGGGCCATCTCTTCTAGAGGACCTATATCACCCTGCCTCTCATTTCCTGGGGACACGGTAAATGGGACCAGCGTGATTTTAAGAACCAGCATCTCTCCATTGCACCCTAGACAGGAGGCAGATCCCCGGGCAGTCGCCAGTGGCTCTCCTCACAGCCACTCGGCAAGGAAGCCACACGAGCCCGAGGGGCGCTCCTACCTCCGAGGCCATTTCCTGGAAGTCACTCCCAGCCCACTGGACGATGTTCCCCAGGAGGAAGATGGGGCAGTAGGGATGCTCCGTGCTGTAGCGGCAGCTCTTCAGGTAGGACTCGTTGTTGGTTGCCAGCACATTCACCCTGCATGTAGGGAAGAGGGAAATCCACCTTGCCTCCTTCTTTGCTTGCCTGCCCAGCCCAAGCCACCAAGACTGCAGAGACAAGAGATGTCTCCAACGCCCCTCACACACATCAGAAATGGCACCTCGTCACCCTGTGAGCCCCTCCACTGCTGGCCCAGGGAACGCAGTCTGCCCCCCAAAAAAATGACCTCCAGGCCAGACAGGGACCAGGCCATCTGAATCTGGGCTCAATAAAGGACTCACATGGAGCAGGCTGCCAGAGCGCTCCAGGGCCACCTGGTTTTCTCAAGGAAAAAAAATAAAGATGCTAGAAATGTGTAGCTGAGCCTGGAAGAATAGCATGAACATGCTCCTTTCTACACGTCTTTGTTTTGTTCATACCGTGGCAGCAAACGCAAACAAATATTTTTAAATTTGCATTTTCCCAGCCTTGTCCAGTCACCTTTATTTTTATGGAAGAGGAATACCTGGGAGCAGAAGCAGCTCAGGACCCTGGCTATGTCCACTGGCTGGGGGGACAAGGGTTTTTCTCCTTTGCTCAGGACCCTGGCTATGTCCACTGGCTGGTGGACAAGGCTTCTTCTGCCTTGGAAGCTCTGGTGCATCCCATGCTGTAGGAGCCATTGCAGACCTCATTTGGTGAAGGACAGCTTTATCCCAGTTGCTCTCTGAGAAGCTCTGAGCCCCCATTATCTCCTTGTTCCCGCACAGCCTGAAGCCAAAGGCTCTCCCTGCACCTCAGAAGAGGGAATATCCACCTCCCCACCTCAACCCACAGGCAGAAGGACAGTGGAGCAAAGTGAGGTTGTTGGTTCTGTGATAGAGAGGACAGACGGATCCTATGAGCACCTGCACTTACTTGGAGAAGTTGAACTTGGGGAAGCGGATTGAGTTCTTGATGTAAACAGTGAAGTTCTCTGCACTGGCAAGAAGTGGTTTCCTGGAAGAGAAGGGTTTGTTAGCTGGTTTGCATTCGTATCCTGCCCATGTGTTTAAACTGGAATGGCCACTTCAGAAATGGCGAGGTTTCATGCCGTGGTTCATGCCACTTCCCCCACTGCCAGCAAGGAGTCAGTGAGGAGCGTGCAGGTTGAGGAGAAGTCCTGAGAGCTGGAAACAGGCCTGGGACAGCCAGAGAGCCAAGCAGGCGGAGCAGAGGGCCAGTCCTGCCAGGGGGCCATGCAGAGCTCCCTCCTGCACTGGAACAGCCAACATTCAAGCAAGCATTCAAGCAGAGGGAACCTAGAAACTGCCCTGAGTAACACACAAGCCAAGCAACTCAACCTCAGAAACAGCACAGGATGGCCACGTACTTGGGCTTTGATCTTTTCTCCACTGGGCACCAGGCCAGTATCTCGCAAGTCCCTCTGGTGCCGTTCCTCTCTTGCAAACAACGGCCAGTCTTAACCCCTGCAAGCAGAGGTGTCACAGAAAAGGTCACACAGATCAGCCACCTCCTCTCCTTGCCTACAGGGCACATGAAAATCAGATCCTTTTCCCCGCCACCCTAAGCTCTCCCCCCTGCTGTGAAAGGACCCCCCCTCAGCTGGAACAACCACTCTTGTTGCTTCTCTGAGCAGCCCAGGGTGCTTTGGCCCAGACGCCACAGAGCTGTAAGCAACGCAGCAATCTTAATAAAAGAAAGTCCTTGCTGCTGTCTGTCATCAGAAATGTCTGGGGTTGTAACCAGGCTGATGCCCCTGAAGGAACCTGCCTCTACCAGAAACAGTACAGGAGGAGACCCTTCCCTTACCCTTGC